GTACATTTGGAATACATCTGAGATGCTGAAAAATGCTGAAAAACGCTCAATATGCACTAATGATAGGTAACTTAATCAACAACCTAAGAAAAACAATAAAAATATTTGACCTTTAGTAATTAGGTTCTGGCAATATTATTCCAAAAATAACTTACATGGTTGCCATGGTAACACAGTGTAACCATGCAAAATCTGTTGCTAAGTTTGGGTTAATGCTAATATATTGAGGAGAAACAATAAAATTCATGACTGGCACATATACATCCTTAGGACCTTGCAACACCGTGAACATAAGAAAAATTGGGATTAATTGTTACTTTGCAGTAGAACCATGGAAACAACGTACCAGTTATTTAACGTGATATTTTTTTGCTGCCTTAGGAATTTACTTAGCTTTTAATCAAGAAACATATTATTTGACTCAACTTGAATAGTACTTATCTGGTAGAACTAAAGTTGAATATTATATATTGATAAAGTTTGTTGAAAAATACAACACTGTTGCTATGGTTACCAAGAGGTGAACAGTTCGATTTTATATCAATATTTAATCCTATGTGCCAGCTTTTTGCATCAAGTTAGAGATTGGGTGGTAGTCAAAATTGAAAGTCAGGTTACTAGTAGTTGTTCATAAATATCAATCATAAAAATTTTGGGAATCTACATACAAGGGTACGTATCCAAGGAAACAGAATATTTTTCAGATTTTTATGCATATTTTTTCGGCTAATTTCCATAGCAACGGTCTATTTAAAGAATTGAATTTGAAATTTTTGAAATGTGAAAATTAGGGTCACACTAACGCCTTTAAAAATTGATCATCAGTTATATAGAAATATGTTTTTTACAAAGATAAGATAAAATTAAAACACTAAGACAGTAAATTCAAAATCCCTTCGTGGTATTAAAACAATGGCAACCGTTGCCAACCTATTAGAAATATCATATTTCGTCCTTGGTATATGTTACAAGGATCTTTTGTCTATTATTTGCTTGCATTTCAACCTATAATTATTTTTTATTCTTAAGTGTATAGCTTTTTTAGATTAAATGAACAAAATTAATACTTTTGAATACTTTGTTTCCATAGTAACGTATGCAATATTTGATTTACCAAACATGTTTATCATGCATTTAAGACATCAGGCCTTCAACTTTCAGACACAATCATTGTCACTTGTTCGCTTTGCTGCAAACGTTAACTGTGGGACTCTGAACATGTTGAAAAATGCCATTTTTCAAACTTTAGGACATGTTACTATGGTAACCATGACACGTGGCAACCAGTTTTTGCCTGATTTGAATTTATGTATCAAAGACTTTTATCATAGAGAGTTTGGAGAAATTCTGTGACTATGCGTGCCACAGCTCTTATATAAAAGTTCAATTCATTACAGAGAATGGCTTTTAAATTCTATAAATTTGTATATAGATCATTCTGTGATCCCCTTGCAGTCTTATCTGAAATCTTAGAGAGAGAATATATACCAGTGTTTTGTTTTTTTTTATAAGTAGCGCTAGTATAACATGATATATGTTTAAGAATTCTGCACTAGATTGTTGCAATGTTGACGTTATCATCTGCCAGATCGTTCCCATCCTCAAATGCTTTTGAAGCACTGATTTTTGCCTTAAATTTCATAGAACAGAATTTTAAATTTGAGTTGTCCTGCATTATCACAGAGGGGTATTCAAGAAGATCACGAACAATCTCTATATTTACACAACCACCATTCAGATCAGCATGAAATTTGGCAAACATATAGTCATACACATGTTTTAAAAATAACATATGTTAAATAATGTTTTGCTCTGTGTTTGTGACGTCACGATTTGAAAATGACGTCAATATGTAGGTGACTTGTGACAAAAAAGATTGACTCAGTCGTACTCGAGCAACGAACGGTGTAAAGTTTAACGTGCATCTTGGTAATTCCTTTCAGTAGCATATAATAATTAGTACAAAGTTTATGAAGACGAAAGACTTGTCAAAAGTTCAATCATTAGTTGGATTAATTGTTTAAGTGAAGGAAGGGAGATGGTTAAAATAATGTTTGTTCTGTTGCCCAGTAAAAGCAAGCCGGGGAAGAGATGTGTCCTTAGCTGAGCAATTTGTTCTGAAAGATCGCCAAGTTACAGTTAGAAAAATAGTTGAATATCTTAACAATAATATTATCATTAAATATATCATTAATATCGCTTACTTTACACTTTAAACATATCAAATATAATAAAAAGAAGGTATCCAAACTTTATCCATATTGGATAAACGATGCTCCAAGGACAGAGGACTCGGGTTGTATGGTCACCATACTAATTCTGAGAAAGGATATCCTTATTCATCCATCCTATTGCCTAGACTTGGATATTTCTGACAAACAGACCGTGTTATAAAAAAAAATATTTACATGGTAAGAAAAACTAGTACAAGACTCGGAAAAATCGTTTATTTTCTGTGAACAGAACGCTACGGAGCATGTCACGTGACCGCCTGTATCACGTGATTTGCACAATGGAAGAACGGTGGCAGATGTGCATTTAAATCGGAGAGGACCACTTTAAAAATAATAAACAATGAAATCTAATTTCATTTCTTTTGTGGAAGTAATTCAATTAGTTCGCGAACTTTCTGATCACCCCGTGTAATTCAACATTTCTGTATACTAACTCAAACAGAGTTACCAGCTCAATCATTTTAAAATAGCTCCCATCGAAATATGACAACTTTTATATTTTCTTCGGAATATCCATTTACGTAGCAAGCGAAGCTTATAAGCTTTCAAATGACGCTTGGATAGTTCCAATTATCTTTAAAGACTATTTATTGCTCTGAAATTAATGTAGATGTTAACAAATTATAAAAATATTTTGGACATGTGTGTCCTTTGCGGAATTGCATCATTTTAGGAAAAAAAAATAATTGATTGAACCTATAGAAAAGCAAAGACATTTTTGTAAAATAGATGAACGTTAATACATATTTTTTTCTTCAAAAATCACTTTCATTCTTGCCTTTTTATCAAATATCCAATTCAGAATGTGTTGATGGATATTATAACGAAAACTGCAATCAAAAATGTGGACATTGCCTTCAAGGAGTTTGTGACAAGACAAATGGAACTTGTATGAGTGGATGCTCACCAAACTGGCAGGGACCTTTTTGCCAAGGCAAGATTTCATTCCCTTTTCCGCATTTCTTACCTAACATAAGAATGGTAGTGTCTTTTAATTATTGCAGAAAGTAAACTTACGTTTGACCTTAAAGCAAGTAATCTTGCTTGAAACTTGTCGCTTGATGAACTGGGTTCCAGAGTAGAGTAAAGGCAACTCATTAGGATATGTAGTAATGAGGTCATAAAGAGTTGTAACGTCATAACATTTGCTCCACTCTGATCGATATATATTAGGAAATATAGCTTTTTTAATATCAATTATAAGAATCTGTGAAGTTGAAGTGCAATGCACCATAACAAGAGGAATGTATGTACGTTAACTTATTTATTTTATTGCATAGTTCTAGAGAAGTGATGTGCATTTCTCTGTAAATCATTAGATAATTCATAATTTTCAATGACGTAGCGAATACCCTTTTTTTTTTTAACATTTTTTTGCTTTGTTTTTTTTTCACAAAATAACGAAGTTATATCAGAAATCTGACTGTATTAGCATAAGTTTTGATTAATTGATTGATTGATGGTATGTTGTTTTCGTCCGGTTCCAGAATTTTTCACTCAAATAGAGACATCAGCATATACCGGTGAAGGGCTTAAACCTCAGATCTTTACTTGGCACTCAGGGCCATTGAGCAGTGAGGGTTCTTTATCGTGCCAACGCCTACCGTGACACGGGACCTCGATTTTTCAGGTCTCATCCGAAGGACCCGCAACTTTCACTTCAGAGTGCCCAGTGCTTGGCGAAGGAACAGTTGCTATCTATTTTTTTATCAACTTAGGTCAGTCGCGGCCGTGATTCGAACACACGACCTTCCGATCACGGAGCGAGCGCTCTACCGACTGAGCTGCCGTGATGGTCATTGGTTTTGATATAGTATAGATACCGAGGGACACACTTAAACATTGTGTAGTTTAATTATTCTTTGCCTGTGAACTTTTTGGCTAAATTTTATATTTCGTGTTTTAAGGTCAGACGATACGTTCCTTAAATATCTGTTTTGTATACCTTCGCATTATGTGGAAAATATGCAAAATTTTAATAACTTCTGATTTTTAAACTGGTTTCTAATTGTCTTTTTAAAAAAAATGAAACACCAAAAATGTGTTATTGGCTAATTAATTTTTTTTTTCCAAAAGGATTTTATAGGAAAAGCATCCTCTGGTATCTTGCACAAATGCCTGGTAAGGTACCTCAATTTTTTGCGAGTAAACATGTTGAGTAACAATACTTCAACGATAACATCTTAGAAAAAAATATATATTATTGAGGAACGTATCTTCTGTCCTTTAGTTAAAATTGGGTTACATGATGACAAAAATTACTGATATAAAAAAGAGAATAACTCTTCAAAGAGACACTTAGAAATTACAAGTAGAATGTCATCTAGAAAAAAAAAAGATCGTTGCACCTCCAAAGTCTGGTGTTTGGCTTCTCTTAATAGAAAATGGACTGAGTCGATTATCTTTCCCGGCAGTGCTTTTACCACAGGTAGGATTCAATTACAAGGCGCCCAGCACAAGATGTGTGTCACACATCATTCGGATGAGACCTTTCAAAATCCTGGTCCTTTGTCACGGTAGGCGTTAAAACGATGATTATCCTTCACTTTTAAAGATGCTAGCACCATGATTAGATTAAAATATCCACGCTTCACTTAAAAGCAGGTGTCGTACCTTTATGAGTGAGAAAATTTTGAATGTGAAGCTAAACAAAATACATGAACAATTAGTCAAGTATATCTTCTGAATGAAAGAGACAAAAAAAGCTTTTATCGACTAGTTTGGAACAACAAACTGTACAGATGAAGTTACTTTTACATCTTTTAGAATGTATTGACGGATTTTATGACCAGAATTGCAGTACTATGTGTGGTGAATGTCGTGAGGGATTTTGTGACAAGAAAAACGGAAATTGCTTGAATGGTTGCAAAACAAACTGGAAAGAACCTTTATGTCAAGGTAGAAATACAACGTAAGACTGTTTAACCATGAATATTCTTAGCATTTGTCTTATTAATGGAGATTAAAGCTCTATCAAAGTAATGCTTCAATATCAGAGAAATAAGTATAGCAGTGGTTTAAGTACCGGTTAACAATGTGTGTTTTATTGTTGACTTTGTCAATAGTAAATACAGATCTGTCCAGTAATGTGGTTTTATATCGTATAAGTTGAATTTAAATCAGGAATATCTATTACCTCCAAAAGTTCTTTTTCTGCGGTGTCTTTACCACCCTTTATCGGCAACTCGGATACAATCTGTGGATTGTTTAATTCATTCAAATGAAGAACCTTAAATTTATGAAAAACTTATTTTGTCCTTTTTGTGAGCTTCCTACAATTTTTTTCTACAATTTTTATGAATTGTAGCAGGCACTTGTTTCTGTAATAATTTTTTAACCCATAGTAAAATAATGCTATTTCTATGCTATGGGGTTAAAAAAAATATCACAAAAACAAGTGCCTGTGCTTTGTATTTGGTGCTAGATAAATAAAAACCTTCCAGGTCCTTAAAAATTACTACTGTATAAGGTATATTAAGATTTTTCACAATTACATTGGAAAGGTTTGGAACCTTTTAAGCAAAGAGAACCATTAATTTAGATATTTATCTAATTCATTTGGAATGCCTCGCCTAGCTGTTAGGAAATAAAATAATCTATTACTACTAGCTAAGCTACGTTTGGAGGAAATCAAGATCTAAGGGGTATTTGCGGGGGGGGGGGGGTGGGTGAGTGAGGGGCCTTGCCACAATTTCGATCGAAAAGATATTTTGCCTGCCCTCTGAATGTTAATACCTCCCATAATTCTTGCATTATTTAATAGCAAGAAAATAAATTGACAAGAGAAGCATGCGAAAATATCTTACCCAGGCTAATAAGAACCCCCCCCCCCCCCCCCGCCGTTAAAATCTATGATTCGTACCTAAAAGAAACCTGTATTGGTCATATGAACAAACAGAATGAATGGAATTGGATGGGAAATTATAGACCCTGAAACGTGCTACTACCCCACACGCACGCTGCACGAACGGTACACGCTCGCTACACGGTTTGCACGAAAGGCTGCACGGTTTACACGAAAGCCTGCACGAAACGCTTTGTACACGTTTCTCACACGCTTTGTACACGATTCTCGCACGTTTTGGCCTCGATCTGGATTTTCTATTCGGAATCTCTCGGACTTTATTTAAATTAAGTAAATTACGGATTAATCAAAGATTAGTTAAGAATTGCAATCATTCAGATTAAGTGAGGATTAGAACTCGCTACACCAGTACTATATTAACAGATAAAAATACACAATGTTAAATTGTATTTAATTAATATTATAGTTGTGATTGAGTATGCGACCCGCCCGGTGAAATGCCTATCATCGTCTATGTACAAAACTTTTTCACTAGACTCTAAATTACGCACTGATGAAAAATAATTATATTTGTAATTCATAATCTTTTACAGCATTCAATGTTTTTACAATTATAGTTTGAGATTAACAAATTGTTTTATTACTGACAAATAAACCCAGTTATTGATTTGAAAAAAATATATATATTGATTAAATTGTGTATGATTTCTGTAAACGGATTGATTTTCTTTCCTTTCCTTTTCTTTTTTTTTTTTTAATTTTCGATTCATTTATTCATTTTTTTTTTTTTTTTGATTTAGTAAATAAAACTTTCATTTGATTGAATTAGGTTCTGTTTATAATTTGCAAAGGTAATATGTACACTAAATCAAAAAAGAACATTGTGCAGGATGTGGGGGGGGGGGGGATTAGATTATCGAGATTTTACTTCTGTTCATGGCTAAATATAACTTGTTTCAGTAAGTATACCATTGGGAAAAAATATTATAGAAACCAATGCCCGTTCTAAGAAAAAAAGGATATCCATATCTCCAGCGGGACCAGATACATGTAATTTATTAACTGCACTTTAATTAAAATGGTAAATATATCGCTTCATTACAGAATCAGACTTTGACTCATCATTAAAATTTAATATGGTAGAGAAGCCGGGGAATAGGTATTGTAATGCTTTAGTTCTCCATTTTGAGGCATTGTGTTTATCAAATAAATACAATATACCCACCACCTTGTAAAATCCTTGATTTCAAATCCCGTCTAGACAAAAAAAAAAATGTAATCAATAGTCGCGGCTCTTAACAATACATTCAATATACATGAATGCATGTCCAGTGTCCTAAAAACTAAAAAAAATATGCTTTAGAACTGCGTGATAAATAAAACAACTAACATATAATTACTCCGGATTTTTTTTTATATTTTATTATTCTCGAATTCACTGGCACATTAATTCACTGTTTACAGAGAATCTGATAAATTTAAGAAATCAAATCCACGGGTATTTATTTTTACCCATTAAATACTAATAAAACTATTAAATTTCACGAATTAAAAATCAATCTTTATTGTCGGGAGTCATCTAAGCCATGATTGACAAGAGATAATACATGTAGCAGAACAAGTTTTCAGTTCCCGGCACGCGGAGCCCGTGATCGCTGTTGTAAGAACCCAACAGGTTAACGCTAGATGGTACAATGTACAGGTAGGCGAACACGAGTTATCGTTCATAGTACGAGTTATCGTTCATTATGTAGTAGATCTATTTACTCGTACGTGGAATATTCAACATGTGTTAAAATACATGTATACGGAAATAAATGAAATATTCTTAATTAATATTAATATTCACAGGTAATTTACATTTATTTCACTGGCAATTTACAATTGGTAATTATATATTAAGTCGTACATGTAAAAGTAGAAATACTAATCCATATAAACAATGTATCCATTTCAAAATACTTACATTTGCTGTGTTTTTCTACTTAGCTAACTGTGAAATTGATTTGAAAGTCATTTTTGTGTATACTCACGCGTAGAAATATACGCGATGAAACACGAGCTAAAGTGACGTCACAATGAGGCTACAGAGACGAAAATAAAAATGTAACGATATAGGGCAGCAAGAAATTCAAATATTGAGTATATTACTGGTGCTTTTTAACTTGTAAAATGTAAATATACCCGCGACGTAAGGGTCAACTCCTTACTCCGCAACTCTAGAGCAGACGCTCTTACAACTGCCCCATGCAGGCGACGATTCCATAATTGAAAGATGGATTTTTTTTTAAATCGACTCAAGTTGTAAGATAGAAATTACTGTAGTAGTATTTTTCTTTATTTTGATAATATCTCATAACTAAACTACTACTGTGAAATATGCCTATATTAGTAAAGAAACATTTTCTATCTTCGTTTGATTTCAAAAGTTTTTTTTTTTATTTTATTTTACCTGAATGTCTTACTTAGCGCCAAGATTTTATTTTCTCACAAAACTCACGGTTTACCGAGGTATATCCGAACGCAATACAGCAAGTCATTTGTTAATCTATCAACTTATATTCCTCGCCATTTGCTACTCCCAACTTTTCTAGCTCATGTACATTTCACACTAGGTGTTTTCGAGCTATTTTTCCCTCTAAAGTACAAATATATATATTTCTAAATAATGCACCTAATTTCTCTACCTGTTTTTTTACACCTATCAGATTAATGTTAGACATTTGTTTGTTTGTTTAACGTTTGCTCACTCATATTGAGACACCAGCATTTACGGGTGGAGGGCTTCAAATTTAGACCTGAACTTGGCACTCAGGGCCTTTTTAACAGTGAGGGATTTTTTTTTTCTTCTACCGCGACTCGGGACTTCTGTTTATAGTCCGAAGAACCAATCTCTACGTCCCGTGAAGTGAATGGAACTCGTGACGAAAGGATCAACTCCTTTTTCCACGACTCAAGACGTAGTCGCTCTAACCACTGCGCCACACGGGCGACAATTTAAACTGATGTTATAGATGTCATTATCCCAAAATCCCTTAATTATGTATCATTTGAGAGTACCTCATAAAATACGCTTAACCTACATCGCACAAACATAGGGATACTGTCTTGATCCCAGATGTTTTTTTCCAAGCTATTCGTACCTTTAAACCAGCTAAAAACTAGCATAATATACACTATTCATCTATATATTTTGGACAGTCCCAGATTAATTAACATTGCAGATATATACTAGATTTCAGAGGATTATCTACGCAGTGATGAAGCATCGTTTTTGAAAGGGGGGCCAGAAAAAAAAAAATTACTTACCTGAAAAAGTTGACAAGCAGATAAAAAAGAAGGAAAATTGCCCAAACTCGAAAATCATATTTCGTGTGTGTGTGTGTGGGGGGGGGGGGGGTGTATAATTACAACATCTAACAGTATTAATTTTATTAATACAATGCTACATCGTCCGTATTTGACCTTTACTGTAGCAAAAAAGTGGAGGGGGTGGGGGGTTGGCAACTGGCCTTTCAAAGAACATTTTCAATAGAAAGAAGTTATGTTATGAAAAAAGTAGGGGGGAGCTCCCACCCCCTGCTCCCCCTCCCCTTGTTCCTACGTGCCTCCTACGTTAGATTGTACATGTGTCAGCTAATATCCTGCAAAAAAGGCAAATATTCTTACAGACCAATGACAGTCAAATGGTTAATCAAACATAATGATATTACGCTCTCTCAAAATGGTTCTCCCATGCATCTACGAAGAATGTGCATGCTGAATTCATTTTAGCATATCCTGGAAAAATTACGATCTGAAATCCCAGATCAGTATACGCTTTTAATCAAAATACTTCTGCTTTTTACAAGATTAACATGAAAATATAGCCCTGATTGGAGATAATTGTAGCTTGTACCAGCTTAAAAAACTGTACAATATCCACCATTTCTCTACGTACTCTGGATGGAAACAATATTTATTTGTTTTAGAAAATAACCTTGATCCCAGACATTTTTTGTCACCTACCTCTAGTATCATCAAACTTATAGTCCAAGACAATACCCTACCTTCTATGGAGAGTCAAAAATAAATTTAACCTGAAGATATGTCC